TCATGGTTGGGGGCTACTGCCTACATGCCATTGGCCAGGTGTCCCTCCTGCACCTCGCTCACACCCGTTGCCATCTCATATCCCCCAAGGCCCATGATGAGGACCAAAGCTACCTCTTAATTATTTCTTAGATGTTTTTTAAATAGTTTCTTTTTCTAATTACATGTAAAAACAATTTTTAACATTCTTTTTTTTTTAAATTTTGAGTTCCAAATTCCCTCCCTCTCCCCTCCGAGACAGCAAGCAATTTAATATAGGTTATACGTGTGCAGTCACACAAAACACATTTTCATATTAGTCATTTTGTGAAAGAAAACATAGACAAAACAGAAAGAAAATAAAGAAGATTAAAAAAATAGCATGCTTCAACCTGTATTGAGACTGCATTGGTTCTTTCTCTGGAAGTGGATGGCATTTTGCATTATAAGTCCTTCCGAGTTGTCTTAGATCATTGTATTGCTGAGAATAGCTAAGTCATTCACAGTTGATCCTTGTACAATATAGCTGTTACTGTGTACAGTGTTCTCCAGGTTCTACTCACATGACTTTATATCAGTTCATTAAGTCTTTCCAGGTTTTTACGAAAACATCCTGCTCATCATTTCTCATAGCACAATAGTATTCTATCTCAGTCATATACCACAACTTGTTCAGTCATCCCCCAATTGATTCCCTCAATTTCCAATTGCTTACCACCACAAAAAGAGCTGCTATAAATATTTTTGTACATGTGGGTCCTTTCCCCCTTTTTTGGATCTCTTTGGACTATAGAACTAGTAGTAGTATTGCTGGATCAAAGGGTATGCACAAATTTATAGCCCTTTGGGCATAGTTCCAGATTGCTCTCCAGAATGGTTAGATCAGTTCACAACTCCACTAAAAGTGCATTTGTGTCCCAATCTTCCCCTCCAACATTTGTCATTTCCCTTCTCTGTCATACTAGCCAATCCTATAGGTGTGAGGTAGTACCTCAGAGTTGTTTTAATTTGCATTTCTCTAATCAATAGTGATTTAGAGCATTTTTTCATATGACTATAGATAGCTTTGATTTCTTCATCTAAAAACTGCCTGTTCATACCCTTTGACCATTTATCCGTTGGAGAATGACTTATATTCTTATAAATTTGACTCAGTTCTCTATGTATTTGAGAAATGAGGCCTTTATCAGAGAAACTTGCCGTAAAAAGATTTTCCCCAATTTCCTGCTTTCCTTCTAATGTTGGCTACATTGGTTTTGTTGTGCAAAACCTTTTTAATTTCATGTAATCAAAATCATCTATTTTATATCTTGTCATACTGTCTATCTCTTGTTTGGTCATAAATTCTTCCCTTCTCCATAGGTCTGAGAGGTAAACTCTTCCATGCTGCCCTAATTTGCTTATGGTGTCATTCTTTATGTCTGAATGTACTCATTTTGACCTTATCTTGGCATACAGACTGAGGTGTGGATCTATACCTAGTTTCTGCCAAATTGCAAAGCTATCTTTTAAGAGGAAGCCCCCATCATCAACATTTCACCCACAAAGTCCAGCAGAAAGAGATTGAAAGAGATATTCCATTTAAAATAACTATAGACAATATAAAAAGACTTGGGAGTCTGCCTGCCAAGATGAACCCAGGAACTGTGTGAACAAAATCACAAAACAGAAATAAAGTTAGATCTGAACAATTGGAAAAATATTAATTGCTGGTGGATAGGCTGAGTATAATAAAAATGACAGCCTGTCCCCCTTTCCCCTTACCTAAGTTAATTTATTTATTCAGTGCCATACCAATCAAACTACCAAAAATTATTTTATAGAGCTAGGAAAAAAATCATCTGGAAGAACAAAAGGTCAAGAATATCAAGGGAATTAATTTTTCAAAATGTGAAGGAAGGTGGCCTAGCAATACTAGATCTCAAACTACATTATAAAGCAGTAATCATCAAAAAACCATTTGGTACTGGCTAAGAAATAGAATGGTCAATCAGTACACAGTACATAGTAGTAAATGACCATAGTAGTCTAGGGTTTGATAAACCCAAGATCCAAGCTTTTGGGACAAGAATTCACTATTTGACAAAAACTGCTAGAAAAACTAAAAAACGGTTTGGCAGAAACTAAGTAAAGACCAACATCTCCGTCCATAATGCCAAGATAAGGTCAAAACGAGTCCATGGTCTAGACATAAAGGGTGATACCACAAGCAAATTAGGAGAGCATGGAAAAGTTTACCTGTCAGATCTATGGAGAAGGGAAGAATCTATGACCAAATAAGGGATAGACAGTATGACAAGATATAAAATAGATGATTTTGATTATATTAAAATTTAAAAGTTTTTACACAAACAAAATCCACACGGCCAAGATTAGAAGGAAAGCAGAAAGCAGGGAAAAAAATTTTTTACATTAAGTGTTTCTGATAAAGGCCTTATTTTTCAGATGTATGGAGAACTGAGTCAAATTTATAAGAATACAAATCATTCCCAATTGATAAATGGTCAAAGAATACAAACAGTTTTCAGGTGAAGAAATCAAAGCTATCTATAGTCATATGAAAAAATGCTCCAAATCACTATTAATTAGAGAAATGCAAATTAAAATAACTCTGAGGTACTACCTCACACCTATCAGATTGGCTAGTATGACAGAAAAGGAAAATGATAAAAGTTGGAAAAGATGTGGGAAAATTGGAACACTAATGAACTGTTGGTGGAATTGTGAACTGATCCAGCCATTCTAGAGAGCAATTGGAACAATGCCCAAAGGACTATAAATCTGTGCATACCCTTTGACCCAGCAATGCCACTACTAGGTCTGTATCTCAAAGAAATTTTTTTTTAAAAGGAAAAGGACCTATTTGTACCAAAAAAATATTTATAGCAGGTTTTTTTGTGGTGGCAAAGAATTGGAAATTGAGTGGATGTCCATCAGTTGGAGAATGGTTGAACAAGCTGTAGTAATATAATTGTGATGCAATAATATTGTGCTATAAGAAATGATGAGCAGGATGCTTCCAGGAAAACCTGGAAAAACTTACATGAACTGATGCAAAGTGAAGTGAGCAGAACCTGGAGAACATTGTGCGCTGTAATAGCAATATTGTACAAGGATCAACTGTGAATGAGTTACCTATTCTTAGCAATACAAAGATCCAAGACAATTGCAAAGGTCTCATGATGAAAAATGCTATCCACCTCCAGAGAAAGAACTGATGATGTCTGAATGCAGATCAAAGCATACTATTTTTCACTTTATTTTTTGTGGGTTTTTGGGTCTGTTTTCTTTTACAACATGACTAATATGGAAACATGTTTTGCATGACTTTACATGTATAACCTATGTCAAATTGCTTGCCTTGTCAATGATAGGAGAGAGGAGGTAAGAGAGAATTTGGAACTAAAAATTTTTTGAAAATGAATATTAAAAATTGTTATTACATATAATTGGAAAAAACCAAAATATTATTTAAAAAAAGATCAAGCCCCCATAATTGTTAGACCCAAAGTGCTTATGAAGAGGCCTTTAGTTCAGCCTCAATCCTCAAGTTGTTACTAGTGCCACCGTGGCATGTGCATATGTAACAAATTTCAGTAACAAAATTCAGCCTAGGGCTTGAGGAAGGGAGTGTCAGTACAGGGAGTGTCCTTGGTCAGATTTCCTAGGTAGGGACTGCTTCCTGCCCCTTTCCCCTGCCTGCAAAAAAAGCAGTACTTGGAAGGGCTTTCTCTGGCTTTCATATGGTGATCTTCTGATGCCCCATAGTTGAGGAGCACTACCCCAGAAGCAAAAAGCTCTGCTGGGTCTGCTTGCCCAAAGGGGATGCTGGCCTGTTTTCTCCTGATGTCTGTGAGTAATGGCTGTTTGATTTCTCCAGCTAGCTGAAACCCCACCAGAGCATCTCACTTAAAAAGAAACTCTCCATGGCTTTTGCCACATACAGTACCATTCCAGATGCCAAAGAATTAACCATGCAGCAGTATCTGTGTCACATAAAAAGAGCCAGAAAGAGAGATGGACAAACATCAGGGACACTCTGGCTGCTTAACAGCCACAGCTGGGAGGAGCTGAGGGGTGGGAACCCTCCAGTCAGCCACTTGACTTTATGGTCATGACCATATCGCACATGACCAGGAAACCCCAAGTTCAAAAGCTGGCTTTGTCATTGGCTTCTTGTGCTTCTGTTTGATTTAGACAAATTCAATGCAACAGACATTTATTAAACACCTACTGTATGCAGCAAAGCCCCAGGCTCACCACTGGGCATGCCCAGAAATGTATGCCAGAGACCAGGCTTCCAAGGAACCTGTGATCCAAAATGGGGTAATATAGCGTGTACACCAAAGAGAGAGAGTACCTTACAAAGGAGCAGGCTAGGCATTGTGCAAAGGAGGGAGCCCTTTGCCTGGGGCTGGAAGGGTATCCAGCAAGGATCAGGAACTCTTCTTTCATTGGGTAGGCAGTAGGAGTCTTTGAAGATGGGAATGGAGGAGTGACCTGATGAGTCATACATGAGGTTATTTGTCCCTTGGGCAACAGTGTGAAGTCTCCAGTGGAGAAGAGAATGACCGCTGCTGTTTGCAGACATGGGGAAGTATGGCCATGCTTCTGTTGCTAGCGTGGGAGTGTTGATGACTACCTCTCCCTATTGAACTGACGTCAAGTTAAGGCATCGTTGTGTAGTGGAAAAAACACTGGATTTGCACGTTTACCACTTGTCCAAATGACCTTGGGCCAGTCATCTCCCTTCCACTGAGTCTCCATTTTCACACTTCTAAAATGAGGGGATTGGAGCAACCCTAAATCTTAGGAATTCTATTGTAAAGAGAGCAGAATCCCACAACAGAGGAGCGACCTGGGAAGTGGGGTGTGGGTGGCTAGTGGACCTGGAAATGGAAGGGCCAGTTTTTCTTAAACAAGGTAAAAAGTAAAGAAAGCTTGTGATTAAACAAAATTCCTTTTGGAACCCTGAGAACTAGATGCCCAGAGAGTGAGCATTGATGTGTGTTTTTGTTTCAGTCATCTACCTCACAGTGTACCATGCCCTCTTCGTTTTCTTCATCTGGACCTACTGGAAATCGATCTTCACTCTCCCTCATCAGCCACACCAGAAGGTAAGTGGAGGAGGAAGGTGGGAGACTGGGACTGCAGAGGCTTTGGAGAAGAATGAGCCAGGCTGATCAGAGCTGGAAGCCTCAGGCCCTTTTATTTGGATTGTTCAAGGGCAGGCCATGTGGCTACATAGTCAAAGAAGCCTAAGGGGAATGGCAGAGGCAGCAAGGGAAGGATACTACAGGGTCCATAAACAAACACACACACACACTCTCTCTCTCTCTCTCTCTCTCTCTCTCTCTCTCTCTCTCTCTCTCTCTCTCTCTCTCTCTCTCTCTCTCACTCTCACAGTGGCTGACACCTCCAGACTAGGCCAGCCTATCCCTCTGAACCTGGGACCAATCTCTCTAGAGCAGCCCAGGGAGGGATATAAGCAGGGCTGCCCCCAGGGGGCGTTGGGCACTGAGGCAGGAAGAGGGCCTGGTGACCTTGTGAGAGGCCGCCTCCCAGGGCTCGGTGCCTCTTATACCAAGCTCACACAGAGACTTTGTAGACCGGGGACCTCTTCCCCATACTTATTTGGGAGTTCATCTTCCCTCTATGTGTCAGGGCATCTCTAGGGTCAGGGTAACCACCATATTTTATGAGGAAAGTATTTTGATTCCCCCATTCCTGAGGTCAGAAGTTTCCAGTTTGGAAGATCCTAAGTGAAGATGTTTCCAGATTTGGGGGGTGGAGGAGATGATGATTGGGGGAAAGCTCTAAAAACCACTGGGCAACAAGGAGGGGGTATGGCTAGGGTATAGACTGCTTGTTGAATGGCAAAAGACTTTTCTTTTTCTGGGATGTAACAAGAAGGGTGCCAGAATCTTTCAAAGGCAAGTAGAGGTGGGGAGACAAAGCAGATTGACCAAGAGAGCTTGGCCGTGTGCGAAAGGAAGCCTGTATTGGCAGTAAGAGGACATCCTTCAGTAAAGACCTCCTCAGACCCCCCAGTGTAGCGTTCTTTCCTCTTTTATGAGTCTAAGAACAGACTATATGTCTGTTCCTTTTTTTTTCATACCACCTTTTCAGCTATCCAGTTGAACCCGATCAACTGAAACCATTCAGCTCTAAGTCCATGAAAACTTGCTGATTCCAGTAGCCAAAGAAAGTTCCATGTGTGGCCCAAGAAAAGCCATGTCAGAGAGCCCCTAGACAGCTACTTCAATCAGCGGCTTCCAAGATGAAGCCTTTTCTCTCTCCTTTGGGAGAACGTGTGGCCATGGCAGGCACATTCATGTGCATGTGCACCCCCCCAGGCCTCCCCAAATAAGTATGAAGACTCCTGACTTAATCTCTGCTCTCCCCACACCATCTAGGCAGTTTATAGTCTGGCAGAGATTTGAAGTGCTTTTGGGAGAGAAGATAACAGGATGGAGAGACGCATCACAGATATCTGCCCTTAAAGTCCTGTATCTTTCTTACGTTGGATTAGTAAAGAGGGGATGGAAACTTCTTGGGGACTCTTTAACTACAGTGAAGCATTCATTCCTCCTGCACCAAACACAGTGCAGTATAGTACCAAGTGTCTGGCCCCCAAATGCATTGACTGACTCACTGTCTGCCACCTGGTCTTGGCTGTGCTACCTAGACCTCTCTCATTTTGGTTCCCTTCGTCTTTGTTGGCCTTGTTTAGCCTCTGTCATTTTGTTTTGTTTTGTTTTGTTTTTTGGCTAGGCAATGGGGTTAAGGAACTTGCCCAGGGTCACACAACTGGTAAGCGTTATGTGTCTGAATCCGGATTTGAACTCAGGTCCTCCTGAATCCAGGGCTAACTAGCCTGTAAGGAGATTGTATACTAACACTGATCATGGTCCTCCAGAGCACCAAACCTGCAGATCACATACAGCATGTTCGTGCTGCCTAGAGTCGGGGCCAGCCCGCTGCTCCTCTGGCATGGCCTTGTGGGAAGGCAGTGACTTCTCATGCCTTAGTTATACTTTTGGTTAGATTTCTTTGATTACCAAGAGCAAGCTGGATCTTTGAAACTTACTAAACTGTTATATTCTTCCATTTCTATCCTTCATTCTCCCAGAACGACAAAGTAAACCAGCTTGGTCAGCCAACTTTTTCTATCTACTTCAACTATTTTTCATTTTTTTAGAACTTCTTTATAATTAAAAAAAATATGGTTCTTGCTATGTAGTGCTTTTTTCTTTTTGCATACTTCTAGTGATAGGCATCTCATTCCCTTCCAATGCAGCACATCCTAGTCATCTCTGTGGGATTAAGCAAAGCAAGTCTTAATTCTTCCTCCGTGTGGTCATCCTTCACATATTTGAGTGCCACCAACATGGGCCTCCTAAGTCTTCTCTAGTCTAGGCTAAGCATTCCCACTTCCTACAGTCAGTCTTTTTATGGCCTGACTTCAAAGCCCATCCCCACCCTGGTCACCCTCCCCTGGCCTTGATCCAGTTTGCTAGTGTCTTTCATAAAATATGGGGCTCAAAATGGAATACAGTATTCTAGCAGCAGCTTGACCAGAACAGAGTACAGCAGGCCTCTTGTTTCCCAAATTCTGATATTGTGCAGCCCAGGTTGAGCTAGATTTTGGATGAACAGCTGATACCATTGACTAATACTGAGCTTGTTAGACACAAAGGCCCCCAGATCTTTTTTACTTGACCTGTTGCTTATGTCTCTCTCATCCTGTCATTGTGTATTCAGTTCTTATGGTTGATTTAAAAAAAATTCTAACACTATTTTTAACAGTTAGAAGAACTGTAAACCCAAAGGGGAGTTTACATTTTTTAATGGCATCCCTTTTGAGCAACGGTATCACTAGTGGCAAACAAAGATTTTCATCCCCTTCAAGGATTTCACCCCCCTCAAGTAGCAGAATTTAGTGACCACTTGCTATTGTATATTTCTCATGAAATTTGGGGCCATGGTTCTTCTAAGACTGAGAACATATAGAGGCAGCTAGGTGGTGCAGTGGATAGAGCATCGGCCCTGGAATCAGGAGGACCTGAGTTCAAATGTGGCCTCAGACACTTGTCACTTACTAGCTGTGTGTGACCCTAGGCAAGTCACTTAACCCGATTGCCTAGCAAAAAACCAAAACAAAACAAAAGAACAAAGACTGAGAACATACAGTATCAGGCTCTAAACCAGGAATCCAGGATTGCTAAAGTCTTGAGAAGAGCTTGCTTCTTATAAGGCTGCACCAAAGTAGCACATGCAGAGGAGTCCCCCTCCAGCCTCATGAAGAGTTTTCCAAGCATCCCCCAGGAGGCATCCTTGCCACTAGCCAAGCACAGTAGCCATCACTAAGGTTCTGGATCATAGCCAGCTGGCAGGCATTGAAGTGATAGACTTCGTAACCCAATTTCACCAGGCTAATGGTTGGCTGAGCAAATAGCTTTATTAAAAACAAACAAGAAAAAAAAGGTTTAAGAGTGAAAGGGGGGGAAAAAGCCCAGTGCTGCCTGTTCCCATTTTCTGCCCAACTCGAGGTGTTTACAGCTTTCTGAACGACGCATCCTAGCCCTTAATTATCTTTGCAAATGGCATCCGAACTCTTTGGTCCTTTTCTTTCATACTGACCGGTTCTTACTTTGTGCTTCAGCCTTCGCTTGCAAGATATCCACCAACAGGACGAGCCTGGAACAACTATTATTTATCTCTTTTTTAAAACCATCAGTGACTCATTTATCCTGCAATCAGGATAATTGGTCAGAAACCATTTCCTTGTTAATTGCACATAAAAAAGCTCTCGAGTCAGATTTGGTATTTGCTTATGGATGGGATTTTCAAAAGCTTTTCTCTGTACCTTGGACTGAGTGGATGTTTGTCTGTGCTCCTTTTGTTTTCAGTTCTTCATGTCCTACGGAGACAAGGAACGCTATGAAAATGAAGAAAGGCCTGAGGTTCAGAAGCAAATGCTCCTTGACATAGCCAAGAAGCTGCCGGTGTATACAAGGACTGGGAATGGAGGTGGGCTCATGGGGGAGGGGGAGGGGGAGGCGGGGTGAAGGGGAGGGCTAGGAAAGGCAGGCCAAGATGAGAGCGGGCTCAGAAATGCCACACAGCCCCTTTCCCTGGGCTTCTCCAGCAGGCACCATGCAGTCCTTCCATTGGTTTCTGATATTACTCCTCTGCCTGTTTGCCCCACAACCAGTATAGCTGAGATCCTTCTATACCTAGCTGTAGCCGATACAGAACAAGGTTGTTCTGGCTTGAGAAAAAGGGGAGAGGAGGGGGTCCTACTCAGTATAGAGCCTTGAAACCAGTATGCCATGCCGGAACACTGTAGCCAGTACAGACCAAAGGTAGATTAGTTTGGGGGAGGGAAAGGGGAGTCTTGTTCAGTACATATTGAGTTGACTTTTGTGATGACTGCATGGTTTTCAGAGCGAATCAAATATCATGTGCTGCTCTACGTATTCCGGTTAGTCAGGGGAAAAAATTCTCTACGCCCACACAGCAAAGTCTTTGCTGAACTATCAGTCTGCCATGTGTTGCGTCCAAATGAAGAGCAAATGAAAATATGTGCGTTCTCTCTGAGTCTCATCCAGCTCGTTCCTGCTACTTTAAACTCCCTTTTGGGCTTATCATGTGTTTGAGTTTAAAGCACGATATTGTGCTTCCCACCACTAAAAATGGGGCTAGAATTTTTAAAGAATCAACCATAAGAACTGAATACACATGGGGCAGCTAGGTGGCCCAGTGGATAGAGCTCTGGCCTTGGAGTCAGGAGGACGTGAGTCTCAAACACATGACACTAGCTGTGTGACACTGGGCAAGTCACTTAACCCCGATTGCCTCACCAGAAAAGAAAAAAAAAACTGAATACATGATGACAGATTGAAAGAGCCATAGATTAGCAACAGGTAAAGTAAAAAAGATCTGGGGATCTTAGTGTTTACTGTATGTCCCACATACAGTACCTTCCTGGATACCTCATTTCCTCATTTTGTGTGCTGCCGTCTACCAATGTAGATTGCAGGCCTTTCCAGCTTTAATAGGCAAACTTCATGAGTTCCTAGGGCCAAAAAAATCACTCCCAGCCAACCAACCTTGTTGTGAGGAGTCCCTTTGAGCTATGCTAGGGTACACCATCACTGGGGCCAGGCTTTTGCAGCCTGGAAGGCCCTCCCAGAGCTTGTGCCCCACTGGCCTTCCTCTTAATCCCCTCGGCTCACCACAGTAAAGGCTTTAGTAGAGGCCTGTCCCTACCATCCTGTAAGATCATAGGACCCAAGATCTAGAGGTGGAAGAGACCTCACAGGTCTCAGAATCCCACCTCTTCATTTCACAGAGAGGGGAAACTGAGGGCCCAGAAAGGTAATGACTTGCCCAAGGTCATACAGGGAATACGTGTCATGTGTGGGATTTGAAGGCAGAACCTTGAACCTTGAAAGTTTTCTTTCCTTAGTACCACATTCCCTCCTTAGCACATGTAAGAACAAGAACCATGCTGTTCTTTAACAGCCACTCTTTGTAGAACAGTTTCTGATCTTTACCTAATTACAATTCAGCCCTTCGGAGCTGCAGAAGTAAATTATTAATCTTTATTTTTATAAAGAGGAAACTGGGGTGAAAGATGTCTAAGTAAATTGCCCTAGGCTAGTAAAGCCATTGGTAGTAGGGCTTGTTTTTTTTTTTTCGTAGATTTTATTGATATCCATGGTTTTTATATCATCCAGATTTGCCCCTGTATCCCTCCCCTCCCCGTCCTTCAGAGCCCTCCTACATAACAGAAATTTTTTTTAAATTAGCAAAACCAATCAATACATTGGAAAGATCCGAGATTCTATGCGGTGTTCCCCCCACTTCCCCCAGCCTCACCTCTGGCAAGGAGCTTCTCAGATCTCTGCTTTGGAGCCAAGCTTGTACTTTCTAATTTCACAGCATTCAGTTTTGATTGCTTTCCATTTGCATTGTTGTAGTCATTGGGTATATTGTTTTCCTGGCTCTGCTTATGTCACTTTGTATCAGTTCATATAATTCTTCCTCTTCTCCCCTGGATTCATCATGTTTTATCACTTCTTACAATGAACATATTCTATTACATTCATGTACCACAATTTGTTTCACCCTGAATATTTTAGTATACGTAGAGCCTTTCTGTTTTGCCACTGACCTCCTTGGTGGTACATATGCAGCAAGCAGATTCTCTGAGTCAAAGGATACAGTAGAGTTTGTCTTAAACTAAAGGGGTTCCTGGCTCTAGGCCTTGTGCTTATCTATCTGAAGAATAGTTTGCCTGGTGGGGGTGTTCAAAGACTTCTGCATGCAAGTGTGCTATGCATACACACACACACACACACACACACACACACACACACTCACATACACACTCACATTCACATTCACCACATTACACTCATCTGATCTGCCTTTTGTTTGCTAACTTGCAACTATCTGAGTAACACTTGGCTGAAACATTTTTAAAGCCACCATCTATCTAGGGTAATAGGCTATATGGGCCTAGAAGTGAGCCTTGACCCTTGCTAACCACCTCATATTTCTTACAGCTGTGCGATTCTGTGACCGGTGCCATCTGATCAAGCCTGATCGTTGCCACCACTGCTCTGTCTGTGCCATGTGAGTGACAAGAATATTTGCCAAGTACTAAGCTTGCCCACTGCTAGTTGCCTAGGCAACAAGACTGGTCTTTACATGTGACCATGCCAGGACATCTCCCTTGAATCAGAGATGTCCAAGCTAAAAATGCCCTCATGAAGATGATGCTTTAGACCAGGGGTTCTTAACCTGGGGGCCATGAACTTATTATATTTTGCTAACTATATTTTTAGGTCATCAATTTCCTTTGTAATCCTATGTTTTTTATATTATCGTATGCATTTGAAAACATGATTCTCAGAAGGGGGCCTTAGGCTTCCCTAGACTTCCAGAGGGGTTCATGGCACAACAAAGGTTAAGAATCTCTGCTTTTGGACAGAAAAGAGAAACAGGGCCCCACTGGGGTGGGAGGGGAAAGGGGGAAGCGGGGATGTGGGCCCAGAGGGTGGGGTGAGGAACAAAGAGAATTCTAGGTACATGTCCTTTCAATCTCTTGTTTTCCCTGGGTGAGTTGCTTTGCCTGTATTCTCTTCACCTGTGAAACCCTTTTGGGATTATCCCGGGCTTTGTCAGTGCCGTCTGTTTAGAAGGGAGAGGTATGAACAGTGTGGGGGCAGGGGCAAGGAGAATAACAGAGAAAAAGATGGAGCAGCAAGAAGACAGAGTGGACGGAAGGAAGAAAGCTCCCCTAGGCCTTGACTCTCTTGTTGGAGTTTTGAAGCCTCCAGCTTCTTCAGAAGGCTGTTGCAAGGCCAGCTATGTGGTGTCAGCTTGATCCCATGACATGATGGATCACATCCTTGAATCACATCCTTGAAAGAGCCAAAGGACTCATTCCAGGGTAGTGTTGGGGGAAGAGGTATGGACAGTGTCTCAGGAATGGATCTCTGGGACGGGGCGGATGCACTGGCATCTCCTCCCCTAAATGACGCCTCACGTAGCATGGCCCAGCTACAGAATCAGCCCTCCGTGGTAATGATATTAATAATATGTCAACACGTTGGAGAGCCTTGCTTTTGGCAGTGTGGGAAACTCCCTTTTTATCAACTCCTTCCGCCAACGCAGATCTGTCTGTGACACAGTAAATAAGTTGCCAAAGGCACATAGAGGTGACGTGCCTTGCCCGTTATCTGTCACGTAGTCATTAAGTATCAGAGGCGAAAACTGAACCCAAGCTCCTCCTGACTCCCAGCCCAGCATCTGCTGTGCGTTTTGGAGTGATGGCAAGAACAGTTGCTGATATTTGTAACGTTTTGCAGAGAAGTGTTTCCTTATTAGCATCTTCTGACTCTATCCTACCGTATTTTGTCTCTTGTAGGTGTGTCTTGAAAATGGACCATCACTGTCCCTGGTGCGTGCTCCCGATTGCCTTCTTCCCTCCAAAGGGCCAAAGCTGCTTATGTGTCCGCTCTTCTGCACCTCAGTCACTTCTGCCCCTGTACTTCGCTGGTCCTTTGTGGGACTCAGCCCAATTCTGAGTCAGAATGAATAGGTGTAGTTCCGCCCATGCGTTCCTGATGCCACAGAGCACATAGATTCCTTCCTGTTCACTGCCTTTAACAAGTGGCCACATAGTTAACGTGAGCTCAGTTCTCTTCCACATTTCAAATCTGTTTCTAGCCATCCTAATGGACGGAATCTTCTGGCCCAGTGTTATTCATTTCAGCTGCCCTCTTCCCAATCTGATTTGGCAGACATGGTGGGGGAGTGGGTTCACATTGGATTATCTCACCATGGGCTGAAACAACCCCCCCCCCACTCCCCAGCTCTGCACAGCTGCCTAGGCCATAGTGGATTCCCAACAGCATGTTTACTTGGTAGGCAGAACATGGATTTCTGGGGCTGCAGGTGGAAACAGAAATGAGGATGAAACTTGAACTTGGTTCCTTTTGGTCCTTCTGCGGAGGACCTTCTGGCCCATAATGCAGCAGCAGGAGAGACTTGCTTCCTTTGTTTTGTCTGTGTCTGTAACCACGTTCTCAACGTGCTCCAATTCGCGATTCTTTTGTGTTTTTTAGGGTGAATAACTGCATTGGATTCTCCAACTACAAATTCTTCCTTCAGTTCTTGGCCTACTCTGTTCTCTACTGCCTCTACATCGCTGCCACTGTTTTCCAGTATTTCATCAAGTATTGGGTGGTAAGTTCAGGAATCCTAAAGGGTTTGCTCCCTCATTTACCAACACCCTCACCCATCCTTATCTATGAAAAGTTTACATATGCCCACCTTGCTCTGTGTTTTAGAAAGTGAACACTTTATATTGAGGGGAAATGGATTTATATGGAAAGGTGGAGTTTAAATAACTAGAGGATAGAGACTGCACCTGGGATTTCATTGGTTAAGGAGAATTCCCATGTGTGGAAACTCCCTCCATCAATGTAGGTTATCACCTTCTCCTCAACTTAGAATCCTAAAGAGTTGCATAGAGCACTGAGAGGTGATTTAGACAACTTCAATGAACTGATGCAAAGTGCAGTGAGAAGCACCAGGAGATCATTGTGCACGGGAAAAGCCGTGTTGTGCCATGATCAGCTGAGAAAGACTTAGCTCCTCTGATCAAGGCAATGATCCAAGACAATTCTGAAGGACCCATGATGAAAAGTGCTATCCACCTCCAGAGAGAGAGCTGCTGAGCTCTGAATACAGAGCAAAGCAGACTTTTTTCACTTTCTTTGTTTCTTGCTCTTTATTGTTATCATTGTTTTTGCAACATGGCTAATATGGAAATGGGTTTTGCATGACTCCACATGTATAACTGATATCATCTTGCATGCCTTCTCAATGTGTGGGAGAGGGGTAGGAGGGAGGGAGACAATTTGGAACTCAAAAAAAATTTTTTATGAATGTTAAAAGAGGTGACCTACCCAGAATCACATAACCATATGTGTCAGAGGCAGAATGTGAACTCATCTCCCTGGCTTGGAGACCAGCTCTCTGGCCCCTTTCATTATAGCCTGTTTCACTAAGTCTTGAGGATCTTACCATTGATATGCCTCTTAATGACTTGACCTTCCAGCACCTGATATGCACATCTCTTACTAAGACCACTCTTACAGAACACAGAATATGAAAAAAATGAAACTCAATTCTAGTCAAGTTTTCTACAGAAAAGACTACCCTGCCATCCTCCAGGCCCACTCTCTGTTTACCAGAGTGGCAGCGTTCCCACTTGGCATGACCATGCGCTGAAATCCCTAGAGCTGACAGGCCTAAAGTTGAGAGCCTGCATGTGCAGCAAGAACTGGGCTGGGGGTCAAGAGGCCTGCATCTTTCTCCTTCTGGCTGTGCCTCACCTTAGGGAAATCACTTCCTCTCAAACCTCCTTGCCTCACCATCATGTTGCAAAGATCAAGTGTAGGAATGTATGGGCTGGCACTTTCCAGCATTAGAATGTGCTCAACAAATATGATTTTGGCCACGTCCCCACAACACGCCAACATCCCTTTGTTTCCTCACCTTTTACTTGTATGAATGAGGCCTGACGGCAGTGGAATAAGAATGGGGAGGGGCGAGAGCCCTAAACAGAGAGTCAAGAGAGATGCACACTAGCTATGTGACTGTGGGCAAATCACTCACTTTTCTGCCGTGGGCCTCAGTTTCCTCATCTGTAAAACAGGGATATTATCTACCTTTCATGGTTGTTTTATGGGAAGCTCTTTGTAAATTTAAACATGCTAGAATAATGTAAGTTTTTGTTATTAACAGTAATAATAATGGAGAAACAGTGGTGGAAATAGCTCTGCCACTTATCCTCATGACCTTCATGAGAGGCCAAGTCCGTTGCCCTCTCTGAGCCTCAGTTTCCCCATCTGTAAAATGAGGCCATTGGACTAGATTAGGGGTTGGCAGACTACAGCTTATAGGCCAAATCCAACCCACTGCCAGCAAGCCAAAAATGGTTTTTACATTTTAAAATAAAATGCCATACAAAAACAGGCAGAGGATTTGGCCATGGCAGGCCATAGTTTGCTGACCTTGGACTAGATGGCCTTTCAGTCCCATGTTCCTCCAAGTTCACATTTACATCTTGCGTTAGGGCTCACAAAGTACTTTCCTTGCCATGACCCTGTGAGGTAGGCAGTACAAGTATGTTCATCCCCATTGTACAGAGAGGGAAATCAAGGTTTGGAGAAGGGCATGTGACTTATCCACAGTCACCATAGCCCAGGAAGCGACTGAGCCAAGCCTTGAAGGCAGGTTTATGGAGCCCACCCCATGCCGGGTTCTCCATCATTTGGGAACCCAGAAGAACTGTCTCAGGGGCAGCTAGATGGCACAGTGAATAGAGCACCAGCCATGAAGTCAGGAGGACCTGAGTTCAAATCTAGCCTCAGACACATAACATTCACTAGCTGTGTGACTCTGGGCAAGTCACTTAACCCCAATTGCCTCGCTAAAAAAAAAAAAAGAAGAAGAAAAAGAAAAAGAAATGCCTCCCTCTGGCCTTGGGTGACACTTTTGCCCAGCATAGACAGCTCCTTCTCTGCCAGCCGCCCTAGTATCAGAGCCCAGAAGTATGGCCAGGGCTACCCGTTACCACTTCTTGGAGAGTGTTCTTTTTGGGGCCAAAAGTCTTCATTTGTGAGGGTTAAGGTTGAATGAAGCCAGAGAACAAAGGAACCAAGGCTTCTATTGTTGAGAATACTTAAATTATTCATTAGAAAATTGGAGGAGAACCAGTTCCCTGTCCTCCCCTGAATCTGTTGTTGCCAAGTCAAACCTTAGACCTCAGCCACTGAATCAGGTCAAGAATCCAGCCAGTCCCAGGGGCTGATAAAGCAGGTGAATCATGGCTTCTGTGGGGTGATGAAGAACATTAGCGGAAGAGAAGTTTTGTCATGAACCCCCTGCTAATGCACACTGCTGTAGTCCCTCCACACTGGGCATCTTGGCAGGGAAGCTTCAGCTCCCCTTTGGGCCCTTCCCCGAGCCCTGAATTCCTTATCTGTTGCTCCATCTTCTATTACATGTTTGGCATTCAGGCCACATGCCACGGCTCCTACTTCAGAGAAAAACCCCAGAGGGCCAAAAAGCCACCTTCTCTAATCAGCAAGGAACAAGCTGGTCTTTACAGTGTGTACTCTTGACCTGGCTTCATCAGCTGAGCAGCAGAGATCCTGTGGAAGTCCCAGCCTTCTCTCTGCACCACTATCAGCATGCTTTCCCCCCACAGCTTCCCTACCTCAACACGGCCTGTCCACCTCCGATTGAGGTCCCCACCTTGGGGTAATGAGCTTTGAAATAGCTCTTCAAAATGGAGCTATGTCTGATGGGAGTCCTATCCAAATCTGGGTCCTCTGGTTACATGGCTAGTGATTCTCAGCTGAAGAACCCTGTCCTAGCTACAACATCAGAGTCATTGAAAGCTCAAGAAAATGTGGTTTGTTTAGCCATCTGAGCTTTAAGAGTGTTTTCTAAGTCTACATTCACTCTTCCTGAAATTGGAAACATTGGGTTCAGCAGAAGGCCTCCATTGCCTTGCTTTAGGTTTCAAGTTCACATGCTTCTAGGGTAGGGCAGACCTCCCTAGAAGGCCAGTCCTAGCCCTTTTCAGCAAGACTCTAGCTCCCTTTGAATAATCCATATGGAATAGCAGCAGATCCCCTATTGCTTCATTAGCTGCACCATGGTATAGTGAATGGGGTGCTGGATGTGAAGGCAGAGGACCTAGGTTCAAATAGTAGCTCTCCCACTTACTGCCTGTGTGACCTCAGGTAAATCACTTGCCCTCTCTGGGTCCTAGTTCTTCATCTGTAAAATGAAGTAACTGAACAAGCTGACCTCTGTGATTCCTTCAGGTTTCCGAAATTGATAGAATGGACCCAGCCAGAAGGCACAACATATGGAGGCAGCATAGACTAATGGCCATTTTTTTAAGCTCCTAAAAATCAGTTTTATTTCACTGCTTATATACCACATGTGGCCCTCTAGGTCCTCGGGTGTAGCCTTTGACTGAGTCCAAGTTTTACAGAACCAATCCTTTTCTGAAGGGGATTTGTTCTGTGAAGTTTGGATTCAGTCAAAGGGCTGCACTTGAGGACCTAGAGGACTTGAGGCCACAGATGCCCTACCCCAGATCTAAGTGTATTACTGCCAAAGCTTGTGCCTGCTGTTCCCAGGTTCCCATCAGCACCACTCTGGTTCTGTAGGATTCCACAAGCTCTTGTTTAGAACCCCTACAGGCCTTTAGGAAGTTTGACATGGGAGCAGCTAGGTGGTGCAGTGGATAGAGTACCAGCCTTGGAGTCAGGAGGACCTGAGTTCAAGTGTGGCCTCAGACACATAACACTTACTAGCTGTGTGACTCTGGGCAAGTCGCTTAATCCCAACTGCCTCACCAAAAAAAAAAAAAAAAAGGAAGTTTGACATGATAACCTATGAATGGCTTCACCCGCCATTGAACTGTCATCACTCCTGAATGTACTTTACTTTGAAGAGCTAGAACATTGGGTCTTTTCCCCATAGGAAGACCAGCTGTGTGACCCTGGGCAAGTCACTTAAACTCCCTAGGGCTCAGGTTGCCCATCTGTAAAAAGAAGGGGTTGGACTGTATGGGCCCTTTCAACTCTAAATGTGTGATCTCATGAATATATCACTTTGGAGGCAGGATTCAGAAGGGGCATTCATATTTGCTATGTGTAAGGACCCTACCTTTCATTGATTGCATAGGTTCTGTGCAAGACTTGATCACCTTCAGTGCATTAAAGGAGCCCATAGCAAGCCAGGGGAGTTTAGTGATCATTCACCAGAAAGCCCCTGGTCTTCATATTGTTTTCAATGGGTCTAACTCTGTCACTTCTCTGGCCTTATACACCTTGAAAAATCAGAGCGCCATATCCTGGGGCCAGGAATCACAGAGAGAAAGAGCAGCCCCCTGGCTGTCCCACCAGACAAACCTCCCCTTTCTCCTTCCATCCTGGCCTTGGAACCAGGCTCATATGCTAAGCTCTAGCCTCCCTTCCCCGGGTACTTTTCCACTCTCATTTTAGGCCTCATAAGAGACATCAGAGATCGACTTAGTTCAGCCTCCGTCAGAGAGAGGGAGTGACTTTCCCAAGGTCACATGGTCCAGTAGGAATTTGAACCCCGGTTTTCCAACTCTAAGCCCAATGTTCTTTCCAGGACACCACATATACCACCTCATTAGGTGCCATTCCAGAGGAGTTCAGCTCTCTAAAACCATGTTCCCAACTGAGAAGGAAGAAAGAAGTCCCAGCCTGTTGACCTGTTGGCTCCCTCCCTAGAATGGTTCTTCTCACCATGCACATGACATGCCTTTGTGCCTTGCCGCCGTCTTGTTCTGAGTTAGGGCCGGAGGAAACCCACCAAATGTGCAACCGTAGTGAGCGGAAGATGGCCCAGCATAACTTCAGGCTGTGTAGGCACCCACCTGATGGGTTTGTACTGGCTAAAGGCAGCTGTCCTATATACTGACTCATTCCACTTTAGCTATAAAAAGCAACAGTCCAACACTTGTGGTGGCTTTCACATTGAAGGCCATCACTGATAGGGAAGACATGTTCAAAGTTCTTTGTGCATTGCACATAGGTACATAGTGTTGGACAGTTCCATTTTTAGAGCTGGAAGAGATCTTAGGACTCACATCAGAGATTCTAGAATCATTGATATAGAACTGAAAGGGGGTTAAAAGGGCATTGCTCCCAACCTCCTCATTTTATAGAGGAGGAAACTGAAGCCCAAAGGAAAATGACTTGCCCAGGGTCACACAATGAGGAAGTTAATAGCAGAGTCCAGATTTAGAGCCAGCTCCTCTTACTCAAAATGCAGTGCTCTTACCATTCCTGGGAAGTGACTTGCCCAAGGTCACACAGCTAGTCAGTAGCAGAGATGAGACCAGATGCCACTTCTATACCACTTTATTAAGCTTTAGAGACCAGAGTGGCCAAAAGGAGCTCCAGGTTTAAAGGACTCAGGAAGAATCTAAGAGTTAGGGATGGACTGCATGACCTTCGGATCCCCTCAGTTTCAAAGAGTCCAGGGGCTGCGGGCATTTCTTTTTGCTTAACTGGTAAATGCATCTTCATTACCCATATTATGCCTGAAGTCAGGATCCATCTTGCCATTTATAGGTTGAAAACATTCACAGTGAGAAACAATCAGTAGAAATGTCACGTAAATAACAGGTGTAGTGTTTAGAGAGAGACAGAGAGAGAACAAGGAAAGAGAAAGAGAAGGGGGGAAAGAGGAGGGAAGAGGAAGAGAGAGAGAACGAGAACCACTTGGAGAAGCATGCTCATTTGAATAAAGGACAACTTCTGCCCTCCAGGGAGTTCTGTGTGTGCTGGCGTGGGCACTCCCACATTCCCTTCGCTGAAGGCTCATTGCCCCTCGTGGATCTGTAGACAGTCTTTGAGAGTTGCAGCAGCTAAAAGACTCCTCACCTGCTGCCAACCTGGCAAAGCCTCTCTGAACTTAGCTAGGCCCCAGGATCCAGCACCAGGCCTACCCTTGAAGCCTTTCCAGCTTGGTGGGGCCTGTCAGAACCTGAGTTCTGCTCATAAGCTTTTGAGAGGTCATTTCTTCTGACACCGGAGGAAGACTACAGTGAAAGAGAAAAAAGGGCTGCCTTCTCAATTTTTCACTCATAGGAGTAAATTATTAAGTCAAATTCAATTCTCTAGACACCTGTTAAATACCTATTCTTTGCAAGGCTCTGTCTCAGCAAGACCTTATGTAGGAGGTAGCTCTAGAGCTGAGCCTTAAAAAGAAGTTGGGATGGCATTTCTCGAGCAGGAGGAATGGTAATGGAACCTCCACAGATGCAGAGGCTGGGAATGGCGGCCACTTGGATTGGGGCATAGATTGCATGAGGAGGAATAATGTGAAATCTCGAATTTGTTGTGCTTGACCTATTTGTTACAAAGGTTTTGTCTTCCTTTTTTCAATGATGGGAGGTGGGAAGGAAAGAAAATAAACTTTTATTCATTGAAAAATATGATAAAAGATTGAAAAAAGATAAGTTGGGGCCAAATTATAAAGGACTTTCAGTGCTAAACATGGTCAGATCTTCACTTTAGGAATATCAAGGTGACAGCTACCAAGAAGATGAGTTAGAAAAGGGAAAGGTTTGAGATAGGGAGACCAATTGAAAGGCTATTGTAGTGGTCAAGGCCATAGGAAGGGAGAGAAGGGGTGCAGATGCGAAGGATGCTGTGGAAGTTAAATAGATAAGATTTAGACACTGATTGGATACAAATGGTGGCTGGAGATCAGTGAAGAGTTTAGAGCTGAGGATGACTCCCGTGTTGTGAAGTTTGGTGATGCCCTCGATAGGCACAGGGAGATTTGGAGGATTTCAAGGGAATGTACTGAGTTCTGTTTTGGACACATTAAGTTGGGATGCTTATGGGCCAGCTAAGTGGAACTGTCCAGCAGGCGGACAGTGATGTGGGACTGGAGCTCAGCAGAGAGGCTGAGGCTGGAAGATCTGGGAATCATCAGAACAGTGATCACTGAATCCATGGGAACTGATGAGATCACCAAGAGAGAGAGCTTCCTATCTATTGGGGAGATAATACAAACAGAAATAACTGTGATATAAAATGAACATCAGTGCTTATAAAAGATGGAAAACAAGGGCTGCAGGATTTGAGGGACAGAGGATCATTAATGACTGGGGTGAGGGAGGTGTTAAGGAAGGCGTCAGGGAGTCAGTGAGAGAGACTTCCTGCCAAACTGACATCGAACCATTTTGACAAATAGAGATACAGTTTCCCGCTCCTCAGAGCTCTTCACACAGAGGCTGGCTGACCACTTTCAGGTCTGTTACTGTGGTAGATGGGTTGGACTAGATGGTAGAGGTCCCTTCCAGTGCTCAAATTCTATGATTCTGTGATCTATACCAGGCCCTGGAGGGGGAAGGATGTCACCAGAGATGGCAGGAGGGGCTGCGGGGGGAGGATTCTGGTTTCAAGCAGAGGACAATAGCATGAACAAGTCCTGGGAAGAGTGAGGCTGAGGCTCACCAGTTTCATCGCTTTCTTTCTCTTCTCTTCTCCCTCATCTCTTTTGCTTCCAGGGTGACCTGCCCAATACACGCTCCAAGTTCCATGTCCTCTTCCTCCTCTTTGTGGCTTGCATGTTTTTCGTCAGCCTGATGATTCTCTTTGGATACCATTGCTGGCTTCTCAGCAGAAACAAAACGACCTTGGGTAAGTTTGGCCAGTCTGGGAGGCTAGTGGAATCACCACTCAGGTTAGAGTATTCCAGTGGCCCATCAGAGACAATGGGGCCATTTACTTGATGTGTCATCACTCTGCTTTGCCACTGAGCCAGACTGAAGACAGCTTTAGTGAATGAAATCCAGGAGAGAAAACCTGCTTGCAAATGGCCCTCACTCAGAAGGTTGCTGTTTATAGCTCATCTAGGGTAACAGCCCCCCAGAGTTACCATCCAAAAGCCAGCTGACAGGGGCACACACACCCAGTGAGCAAGGGGAAAAAGAGACAAAAGAGGAATCCAGGCAAAAGATGTGCCAGAAGAATGAATGTTCAGAGAGAGCATTTCAAAGAGGGGAGAAGAAAGATTCAGAAAACCAGCCAACCCAGTATTTTAGTAGCATGTCTAGGCTAGAGATACTGTGAGGGAGTAGGAGAGCATCAAAGACATGGTCCCCACCCTCAAGGAGTTTACAGTCAGGTTGCAAAGGCAGGATGTAAATCCATAAAAAGCTAAACAGCAGAATAATAAGGAAACCCAGTTTAATGCAACAAGACACGTGTTATTATAACAAGCCAGCTCCTGGTTCATTGCCATGCAAAAGTTCCGGAAGAGATGCATAGAGGGGTGTCCCAGGAGGGATCGAGTTGGAGCTGCATCTTGCCAGATGGGGTATAATCGAGAGAGAGGGAGAAGGGAGGTGGGGGAGGGCAATGAAGAGGCCTCTTTGGCTGGAACCAAGGGTTTGGGGAGTTGAGTGCAGGCCAGATTATAGAAGACACTGAATGGCAATCCAGAGAGTTTGGACTCCATCCACTTGGCAGCCAGGCAGCCCTTGAATGGAGCAAGGAATAGACGTATCCCAAGCCAGGCTTTACTAAGCTTAATTGGTCAATTTGTGCAGGCTGGATTGAAGGAGGGCAGGAACCAGCCGGGCCTTGAGTTGCTTAGGACCTAACCTGGGCCTATTGCAATGGAAATGGAGATGATGCCCCCAAAAATCAAGAGGACTCAGAGGTTGTTTAGATGTGGTAGGGGAAGGAGAAATAAAGACTGCTCGGATACTCTGAGCCCGCTGTCCAAGGGATGGAAGCTAACCCTCGATCACCATTTTGTGGCATTTGGGGAGACAAAACGCACACATGCACACATATTCATACACGTTCACACAGAATTAGCAACATAAAACAATTTGTAAGTCTACAGCAGGGGTGGGAAGCATGTAGCCTTCTAGGTCCTCGGGTGCAGCCTTTTGACCGAGTCCAAGTTTTACAGAACAAACCCTTTTATGAAGGGGATTTGTTCTGGGAAGTTGGAATTCAGTCAAAGGGCCGTACTAGAGGCCACACATGGTCTTGAGGCCACACATGGTCTTAAGGCCACAGGTTTCCCCCCACCCCCACCCCAACTCTACGCAAATGCCCAAGGGAGCAATGGGGAACGGTAGAAAGATTTAGAATCCGAGAATTTGAGTTCAGATCCTGCCTTTGACTTTGGACAAATCACTCCCCCTCCCTCAGCCTCAATTTCCATCTCTGTAAGTCCTTTCCAGCTCTGACATTCAGAAGTCCCTTCTCACTTCGATAATCTGTGTTGTAAACTTCTTCCTCGATTTGATAATCTGAATTTTTTGTTCTGAGGTCCCTCGGAGCTGTAACATTGGATTTTCTAAGGTCCCTTCCACTTCTGACATTTTGTATGCCCAGGTCCCTCCCAGGCCTGACATTCTCCGAGGTCCCTCCCAGGCCTGACATTCTCCGAGGTCCCTCCTGGCCCTGACATTCTCCGAGGTCCCTCCTGGCCCTGACATTCTTTGTTCCAAACATCATCCCTTCCTGCAGATTTTTCAGAAATGAAATCTACATTGTTACCACTTTTTCAAATGTTATTATTTCTGCAGCAGCTCTAAAGATAGGCACTGTTTGGCTGTTGCCACTTGGATGACGAGAAAATGGTCTGAAATGTGTTTTTCCCTCCTTACTTCTGGCGTGGAGAGGCGTGTTGGGCCCTGGCGGCCTGCTGAGATTTTTGTACTAATAACAATTCCTCCCGCTTCTCAAGCATTTTCCTCCCAACCACCCAGTGTGACAGGTAGTGTAAGTGTACAGGGAAGGAAAGGGAGGCTCTCACATCAGTGAAGCGATTTGCTCATCCTCACCCAGCTAAGGAATATCAGAGTCAGGGCTTGAACCCAGGTGTTGAAGACCTGCTCTGATCTCTATACTAGCCTATATTTTCTGTGGTAGTGTGATGGGTTACAATGCACAAAGTTGGCTTCCGTCTAACTTTGTATTGAGTGAAAGTTTTACTATTTAAGGATGACAGGTCAGCACTATGAGAGCAGGAAGATGCCTCAGGACAGCTGAATTCCCAAGGAGCTGTAAAATCCTTGGTTTTCTGAGTGGCTGGGGGCATCCCATAATGCATTGTCCTTTGTTCCTTTCTCCCTGTTTCTCCACTCTTCTAACCCACCCTAGAGGCTTTCTCTGCTCCGATATTTCTGAGTGGCCCGGACAAAAATGGATTCAACCTTGGCTTCATCAAAAACTTCCAGCAAGTGTTTGGTGAGAACAAGAGGCTGTGGTTACTCCCCATTGGGTCCAGGTAAGTAAAGCACAGGGCCAAGTGAGGAGCCCTGGAAACCCCAGCACATTTCCCTTGGCTCCCAGGCCCCATTCCACTAGATGCATTGTTCCCTACAATGTTCCAGTTGTTTCTGCTAGTTTCAAAAAAACCCCAAGCAAGCAGAAGCAGAGGAGGGGTCAGAGGTTGGTTTGGGCCTCTGCAGACAGCAGTAGTCATCCCAGGAAAGCAGCAGAGTCCCCTCGTGAAAACAGATCAAACTAATAGTCACCAGCTCAGGACCATAGCTTGTCTCTGATTTTCCTAAAGCTCCCTGGCCACACTAGAAGACAAGGAGGCGTAACTGGACCACATGGTGTTTTCAAATCTCAGTTAAAGCAGATAAGGAAAGCGGCTGAATTGGACAAGACCTCCGAGGCCACTGAGTCTAACCAACACTGGAAGAGGAGTCCCTTCCACAATGTATCTGCTAAGTGGTCATCCTGTCTTTGCTCAGAGACTTCCAGTGAAAGGAAGCTTCTTGCCCTGCCCCTCCTCCCACCCAAGAAGGCCCATTCCACTCTGGGATACCTCACATTGTTATCAAGCCTAAAGCTGCTTCTTGACAGGTGCACCCAGAGCTCCTAGCTTTGGCCTCTGAAGCTAGTGGACAGCTCACCAATCTGAGTCCCTTTGGTATATGACAGTTCTTCAACTATGTGAAGGCAGGTAGAGTGTTCCCCTGAGTCTTGTCATTTCCAGGCTAAAGATTCCTAGTTCCTTTGGGGCAGCTAGGTGGCGCAGTGGATAGAGCACCAGCCCTGGAGTCAGGAGGACCTGAGTTCAAATGTGGCCTCAGACCAGACACTTACTAGCTGTGTGACCCTGGGCAAGTCACTTAACCCCAATTGCTTTAAAAAAAAAAAGATTCCAAATTCCCTCCACTGATCATGAGGCTCTGCCCCCCCTAGACCTTCTCCAGCTTGTGTCCCTTCCAAAATGTGGTGCTTCCACCTGAACACCTCCCTGGTCCTAGATGTAGGCCTCTACATCTCTCCTGGCACAGTCTATGAGGATGTTCACTTTCTTGGCTGCTGTATTCAGTTAAATTCAACATTCATATATTAAACAGCTACTCTGTGCCAGGCTCTGTGCCAGGCATGGGGAATACAGAGAGGAAAGGGAAACAAAACAACCCCCTCCGTGATTGATGGTGATCACAGCTTGCCTTCTCAGTGGTAGGGAGGGGCTGGAGGGAGGGAGGGAGAGAATTGGGAACTCAAAATTTAAAAAAAAATTCAGTGTCAAAAGAACTGCCCCTATCCTCAAGGAGCTCTATTCTGCCCTCAGTTCTGTTAGGGGAGGACACGATGTGGACACCAGTAAGTCAACATGATATAGATATATAAAAATAACAAAGTAATTTCAAAAGGAAGAGAATGTTAATCCCCTGGAGGGATGAGGCAAGGTCACACGTAGGAGGGAGAGAAATGCCTGGGGCTGGTGTGGAGCCAAAGGGCACAAGCACAAGCTCTGGCATTGAGAGGCAGCTTTAGGCCCAATAGGACAGAGCAGTCAGAGGTATCCCAAAGTGCAGTGGGTCTTCTTGGGTGGCAGGGGGTAGGAAAAGGCTTTCTCTTCCTGGAAGCTCTGAGTGCAAAGGCACACAGACAGGACATAGAGTATATGAAGGAAACAAATGAAAAATAAGGTGGGAAAGGTAAGTGGAATCCACACTGTTGACTTACATTGAGCTTGCAGTCTACTGTGACCCCAGACTCTTTTTCAGATGATCTCCTTGTCAAACCATACTTCCCTCACCTTATACTTGTAAAGTTGATTAAGGCTTTTCCATTTGTCTTAATTACACGTCCTGTTATCAGATCTGAGTCAGTGAACTAGCCTTTCAAGACCTTTTTGGATCTTGATTCTGGCATCTGGAGGGTTAGAGAAACCTCAGCCTGATGTCATCCACAGATATCATAAGCATGCCATCCAAATCATTGATCAAACTATGAGACAACACAGGGCCAAGCACAGATCCCTGGGGAACTCCACTGGAAACCATTAATGACTGCTCTTTGGGGTGAGCCATTTGGCCAATTCAAAAATCAACTGATTGTACTTTGCCTGGTCCATATCTCTCCATCTTGTCCACAAGAACAGACTTTGCCAAATGCTTTGCTACAATCTAGCTCAGTTAGCAGCAGCATGCCACATATTGTGGCAATCTAATAACCCTGTTGAAAATGTTGGCACTATCTCCTCTGCCCCCGTGGCCTTCCCCACGTAAGGGATGGTTTGGTTTGGTTTGGTTTGGTTTTTCAAAGGCCATGCTATTTCTTAAAAAACCACCCCAGAGCTACTGCTGGTCTAGCTATAAAGAATGACCTATGGCCCTGTAACACCAGTAAAGAGGCTACCACCTAGAGCCAGAACTTTGTTTTTCCCATCTCTACCTAGGTGGAAAGTTGGAATCCAACTTTTGGGTTGTAATCCTACAAAGTAAACACTGACCATGCTCACTCCCCAATCCCTCAGTACCCTGCCAGAAGCAATAGGTTTGTTTTCTCTGTTTGTTACCATGGATAGAGCTGTCAACTTTCGGGTTTCCACACGATGGATAGAGAGAGGAGTGTGGGTATTATCAAACTATGAGTGGGCCCAAGTCATCCCTGTTTCACTTTGTAGGGCAGTCATAGAGAAATGGCCAACCCCAAGCCCTTCTCAGTTCAGCTGTGCTCCAAGAGGCCTGGGAGATGAGCCCAGGGCACCATGGACAACCTATTGCTCTTGGAGGCCTTGCCCCCCAGAGTTGGAATTGCAGTGACTGCCTTAGCTCCCATTTTGGCTGCCAGTGCCTATGGCCTTGCTGACTCACAAGCTAGATAGAGCCCGGGGGATGCAACACGACCAGCAATTTCTTTCTGTCACTAAGCCACAGCTGCTATCTACTCTCTGAAAGGATTCATTGCCTATTGACCTTTCTCAAGAATTAAGAATCAAAGCAATAAGACAAAGGGATATGAATGGGTGTTGTCACCAAATGTTATTTAAGCACATTCATGTTGCCATGCTAGCTGCCATCTAATGCAAGTTAAACAAGCTTTCAGTCCAGAATAGCCAACATTGATTCAGCTGCCCCTGGGACATTTAACAGGAAGACTATACTGCAAAGACCTGCTGCCTGGTCTGCCACAATTCCATCCAGTAGGCCTAGATTTTTTTTTTTCCTAGAGATTCTCCAACTTTTTCCTAAGTGCGTTGTTTCTCCTTTAAAAGAAGCACAGTCATCTTCAGGTGCTCACTATCTGTGTCTCCCCTACAGCCCAGGTGATGGACATTCCTTCCCGATGAGGTCCATGAACGAGTCCCAGAATCCACTGCTGGCCAACGAAGAGCGCTGGGAGGACAACGAGGAGGAGGGTCGAGGTAAGTGAGTACAGAAGGGCCTGTGCTCGGGTCTGGCCCTAAAGGAGCCTGCACCAGCCAAGGACACTGCACACACAGGTCAGTGTCGCAATCAGAGGAGGCCTAGCAGCTTGGGAGGGCCTCACCAGCCTTGTGCTGAGATGAGTTCAGATCAGCTCAGTGAGGATGATGAATGAACAAAGCTGTCTTTCCCAGGGGCTCACACTTCATAAGGGAAATCGAAGAGCGACAAATCCAACCTGGAGCCAGATGGGTGAAAGAGACAAAGAGGCCGACTTGAAGGCCTTGATGATAAGTGGGATGGGGCCTGCCTTTGGGATCTTCAGGTGAAGGCCGGATGGCCACCTGGGAGGAATTCTGTACAGGAGGGTCTTAGCTAAATGTTGGACTCAGGAACACTTCCAACTCTGAAATTCCTCTTCTAAAAGCCTCCCCCAAACCCTCTAACCCTGGGAGCTACTTGCCAGCTGTCACCACCCTTTACTTGCCATGCTTGCTGCCTAAGCGCCCTCCAATCCGCCGTTCTTCAGTGACCTCTGCATAGCTAGATCCAGGGGCTTCTTCTCAGGCCTCATCCTCTGACCTCTTGGCAGCATTCAATGCTCACCCACTCCCCCTTTGTGCTGCTCTTTGCCCTCGTTGGCTTCTTTGACTGCTGCACTCTCCCACACTTCTTTTATTCCTTCCTCCTCCTACGTAAGGGTCGGCATTTCCCAAGACTGCCCCGGGCCCCCCATCTCTTTCTGCACTCATCCACTCCCATGGCTACATTGATGTCTCCAAGCTTCACTCTCTCTGCTGAGCTCAGTACTCATATCCCCTATTCTCTGCTGTGTACAGGTCTTCCTTTCTAATCCTTCATGGCTCTGAAAGCTTTCTGTGTCCCTTATGTCCTTCTGTTACTGTTTGAGTGGATCCCCAGATAGTTTTCATTCACCACTTCCTTTTTCTTCTAAATCAGTTTCTGGACCGATTGGCCACAGTCATTTGCCCAAGACTCCATGTCCTAGCAAAGCTATGGCTGATAACCTCTCAAGTCTTCCAGCTTTAGTGAAGACATTGCCCAACGCTCTTGCCATAGGTTAATGGAAGTTTTCATTTGAGAGGGACAAACTCTTTCAACCATACCAATGATTGAGTAATGATATTAGCAGGCTCCAGAGGTGCGTAAGGAGAAAACAAACAAGATCCACTTATGGGGGAAAAGGCAAACGTGCCTGGCACAATCTTCTTTCCCAAGGAGCTCGGAAGAGTGTTGTTTTCACATTGACTCAGTGAAGTCATTTCAAGTGGTCCATAAGACTCAGGTTGGGGAAACAGCTGCTCCCCCCAAAGAGAAGGCCAAAGTAAACTCCTTGACGCTAGATCTGACCAGTAGCCTTTGACTCCGCCCCTTTCCCAGAACTCTTCTGGCAGTGTTGTCTTTGGTCTGCCTTTCCCTAGACCACAGTGCACGGCAAACCGTCTGTGCCCCAGGTGATCTTGAGAGCCACCAAGAAAGCAGTCGGGGGACTCAGGAAACCTGAGTTCTCTGCCCCTATGTCACAGTGAGTAAAAAGTCACTCTGTCTCTCTGGGCCCCCAGTTTGTTCATTAAATGAGATGAAATGGCCTCAAAGGCCTGTTCCAGCTCTAGGTCTATGGTCCAGGGCTTGGAGGATTCAGTCTCCTCCGTTTAGGGCTCCTGGATGCTTGTCTACAAAACTGCTTATGTAAAGCCACATCATACTGAAAGGCAACAGAGTAGAGTGGAAAGGGCATTGACTTTAGAACCAAAAGACCTGGGTTCAAATCCTGCCTGTGCTCCATACTACTCATAAGACCTTTGGCATCCCTGGGCCTGTTTGTACATATGCAAAATGAGGAGTAGACTAATCTCTAAGGACAGTGCCTGGAACATAGTAGGTGCTTAATAAATGTATGCTGATTGACTGATTCCAGCAGTAAACCACCTGTGATCGTAATAGTGACCCTGATGAAAAACTGTTCTAGCATGGCATTCACAGGCAGTGATGTAGTTGCCCTGTGCCAAAGGCAGGCTCGTAGTAACCATATTTTCAAAATATCTTCCTCCTCTTCCCCTCTCCCCAACCCACTGGACTTTTCAGGAAAAATTCCCAAGTTCATGTACACTGGTAATGTCCGACAAATATGGAATTCAGTATTGCCTTTGTTTACCCACCAGCACGTGGTGAGGTGAGCATCTGCTAGGTCTAACCATGTGACCATAGTCCAATGGGACCTGTAATCAGGATTGTCATCTTAGTGAGGGCACTCTCTGCCACTGCACATCACAATTCTTCTTGGTCCAGGGAAATCCTTGCCCGTCCATCAGTACCTCAAAGTCCCTTGACTTTTTTCAGCGTGAGCACTTCCACCACCAATGCTGATCACTGCACACATAAAACATCTGGTCTTAAGGAATCACCTGAGACTCAGGGAGAGTAAAGTGACTTACTCAAGGTCACACAGCTAGTAAGTGTTAGAAGTGGGATTTGGACCCAGGTCTTTCTGACTCAAAGGCCAGCACTCAATCCCCTGTGCCACATTTCCTTTCTCTCCTTCCACAAATGCTCCACAAAGGATTTCCCCACCATGTGGAGGGTGGGTCTTCCGCTGGGTCTTTGGATATTTCCTGGCTATCAGTCCACCCATCTGTTGTCTCTTACCCTTGTTACCTGGCCATCATCCTTGATGTCTTCTGCTCTGCTTCTTGCCTGCATGTTCATTGGACTTTTGCCCATTATTTGAGGACAATCTGATGAGAGAGAGTTCCTCAGTTTGGGGTTAGAATAAGGGTGAGGAGGAGAATAAGAGTCTATCATACCAGATAACAAGGTTCTTTCCGGGTTTGGGGAAAGGGACTGTTCAGCACACTCACCAAGCACTGAATCATTTCATGAAGATAATAAAGAAAGGACATGCAAATCGCTGTGCCCCAGGAGCCATGTAACCAGCCCTGGGCCCCAGAATGCCTGCCTCTAGGGCATCCAGGAGTCTCATCCGATGGGGAGGATTCTGGGCTGTTAGGGCTAGCTCCCAGCGCTCCCACGAAGGCAGCATCAGCTGGTCCAGGCCAATCTGCAAGGAGCCTCCTGGTCACTCTGCACTAAGTCTCTGCCCTGCCCATTCATTGGTCCCTAAGCCATTAAGCAGATGTCACTCCAGGTCAGGACATCAGAGATCCAGGACTGGAAGGGCCCTCAGAGCCCATCTTGTCCAGCTCCCTCCTTTTACAGAGGAGGAAACTGAGCCTAGGGAGGTAAAGGGACTTGCCCAAGGTCACAGGTAGGATTTGAAGCCAGGTCCTCTGACTCCTTTCTACCACATGACCCCCTTTCTCATTGGGTTCCAAGCAGCCAGAAAGAGTCATGTGTGAACCAATAGGCTTTTCTTTTTTTTTTTATTTTTTCTTTTCTTTTTTTTAGGCAATTGGGGTTAAGTGACTTGCCCAGGGTCATGTAGCTAGTAAGTGTCAAGTGTTTGGTCTGAGGTCGGATTTGAACTCAGGTCCTCCTGACTTCAGGAGGCCAGTGCTCTATCCACTGCGCCACCTAGCTGCCCCTCAGTAGGCTTTTCTACTGCTGGGTAATAGGATATATATGAACATAATAGAACATGGGACACACCTACACAAGATATATGAGCAACTAGCTCCATAACAGGCTATAATGGGATATGGAAATCAGCTGTTTCCAGATGACAGGGTGTGGTAGAAAAGCCAATCTGCTGTATGTGATCCCAAACAAAGATTTCCCAGCACTTCCTGACCAGGCCTGAGGCCTATGAAGTCCCTTATTACACGTGACTTCACTAACAAGATGGCATCCAAACGTTGTTATGCAGCACAGACGACCGACCACACAAAGTCGGAGCCTGTGAACACGATCGTCTTAAACATCCCCGTCCCCTGCTCTGACCTCAGTTCGCCAGCTGTGATGAGCAGAACGAGAAAGACATTAAAGGATCATGATAGAAAATAAATGAGCTTCCACTAGCTGGCCGGGAGGGCTCTCAGCTCCAGCTGGGGAGACAGAAAGAGGGCCTTTAATGTACTTGCGTAAATTTGTCCAGTGTCTCAGAAAGGGAATTCTTTTTTCTTATCTAGTGAAATCTTGGTAAATTCAAAACAAGCTCTTCAGCCTCGGTTTCTTCCTCTGTAAAATGAAGGATTAGCCCAGCCAGCTCGACATCTGTGAGCCTGTGATTGCCAGCATAGCTCTCTGGTGGGAAGGATATAAGGAGAGGCAATGTGGTACAGTAGAAGGAAGGATGGATTTGGAGTCAGAAGAGCTGAGTTCAAATGGTACTTCTGCCCCATACCACTTGTGTGGTTTTGAGCAAAAGTCACTTCACCTTCCCTGGGCCCCAGCTATTCATCTGTAAAATGAGAGCTGGACTAGAATCTTCTTCAACTTTTTGCACTCGCCACCCCTTCAGCGCTTCTTAAACTGTGGGTCGTGACCTAGAGGACTTTGAAGGCCCAGCTCCACTCTAGAGCTTGCCTCTCAGCTGTCCAAGGCTGCTCTGCTTAGGGCTCCAGGATGTGTGGCTGCATCATGCTGAAGGACAGTGTAGAGTGGATTGGAAAACAGAAGACTTGGGCTGGAATCCCAGCTCAACCACTTTCTGTCTCCAAGATACTAGGCAAATCACTTCCTTCTCTGGGCTTCTTCACCCTCCCCTCTGAAGGGGACAGATGTGTTCTGCCCTAATTATGCCAATTGTAGGGTGGCATGCCCTCTGAGAGAATATTGAGATACCAAAGAAAGAGGAGCTCGTACCCACTTGGTTATTAATAGGTTTTATTAGGCTTAATTAGGCTGATCAGGTTGTTTGAGAGTTTATTCACAAGAGGCCAGTCATCCTGAGCGGCAGCAAGACAAAGTAACATGGTGGGTCCCCGCACCAAGCCCAGGCCAGGTGTCATACACAGAACAAAGAAGGCAGAGTGCCAGGATAGCCCTGGGGTCATGTGCAAGTTTGCCCATGGGACGGCTG